ATTTTAATTCATTCATATAGAGCAAGAATTTTGCTTACGATAACTTCTCTATCCTTTACAGCTCTATGAGTAAAGCTCTTATTTCCCTGAATAGTCAGGAAAATTTCTTACTGTGACATACAATATCAAAGGACAAAGCAATACGGAGAAGTGAGTGTAGGAAAATTAGGTTTTCCAAATGCCATATTTCCCTCGTGAAAACCGGCGTAGATGCACACCAGTCAAATTCAATTTTTTGTTAGTATGGCCCTTTTCTAGGAACATATACATGTCACAAATATAATACCACTACATCGGTATATAAATCTCACGTTTTTTAGCCTATCATTTATTTATAAGAGCCACATAAGAATCGCGCGTTTTAGCGACTCTATCGATGCAGCATTGCGATTTCGCGACTACATGCGTTCCGTCGCAGTATATCGCGCGTTTTGGCGACTGCTTTCGCTGCGTCCAGTTTACGAAAAGCGACTCAATCGCCGCGTTTGGCGTTTTTAAAAGTGTACGGTGTGGAATGTGTGGTCGCTGCATTCAGCTAAAAAAACCAGCTAAATCGCTGATCGCCAAAGTAGCAAGTGTGCTTTTACATGAAATAACAAAATAAACTTGATCGAAATACCGATTGGATATAGTTACATATGGCAGTTGATGTGTTTTATTTGACTACAAGTAGGTATTTACCTTGGAATACAACTTGATATATTGGCTCCAATAGAGCGCACGATCGTGAGTTCTCACGGAAATGAGTTTGTTATCCGGGAATCCAATCAGCTGGTATTCGAGATAGTTCAGGTAAACAAACAATAAGGTAATAGTGCATGTTTGCGTCCACCTCCCTATACGTGTCAAATAAACAATAGGGTCAAGTCGCCTGTTCTCGTCCACCTCGCTATTCGCTTCAAATAAACAACAGGGTCAAGTCGCCAGTTCTCGTCCACCTCCCTATTCACGTCATCGCGTCAGTGTGACAGATTAGGTAGCTTTTTAAATGCAGATTAAGGTAGGTAATTTTACCGCAATCACTTTTAATGTTAAGGAGATGCAGTCTGACATAGATGGTCCATATTTGCCATGTAAGTGATTCTTACCTTGTTCGGGAAAGACAACAGACAGAAAGGACATCATCCACGTTTCATATATTTTTGGTCCAAAATCAAAAGTGCCGGCCAACAAAAGAAAGTGCTGTGTTCTGACAGAATACGTCTGCCTTAGCATTTGTTACTATGACACCAAAGCCGTAGCACCACTGTGCGTCGAGTATTTGGGATCTAAAAGTCATCGACTATTCATACATTTTCTGTTCAAAATCAAAAGTGTCGGCCAACAAAAAAAAAAGTGCTGTTTTCTGACAGAATACGTCCGCCTTAGCATTTGTTACTATGACACCAAAGCTGTAGCACCACTGTGTGTCGTAGTATTTGAGATCAAAGTCATCCACGTTTCATATATTTTTAGAACTCAAATACTACGATGCACAGTGGTGCTACAGCTTTGGTGCCATAGTAATAAATGCTAAGGTGGACGTATTCTGTCAGAATACAGCACTTTTATTTTTTGGCCGGCACTTTTGATTTTGGACCAAAATGGATGATGTCCTTTATAGCACTTAGCTGTTTTAATCCGCACATACAGGGTGTCCCAAAAAGTAGTGTCAAGCTGAAGCCCAGAGGTAGAGCATCAGTAGGGCTACCCGAATCACCCCCATGTACCCCCACGTAATACGTTGAATAAACACTAACTTGAATAACCTCTCGGTACACGGTTGTTGCTCATTCTGAGGAAATCAGCCATGTGAAATGGAAAGGAAACCGAGGAAAGACATAAAAGGTACTTAATAATATGTAATCTTTACAGATTTACCTACCATCTACCTACATAAAAATAATTACATTTAGGGCTGATTTTTCAACCGTCAGATAAATTTTAACTTATGAATAATCTCGTCATTTTGACATATTTCTCATACTAAATCTGTCAATGTGCCAAACTTATTCTTTAGTTAAAAGTTATCCAAGGATTGAAAAATCAGCCCTTAGGGCTAATTTTTCAATCGTCAGATATCTTTTATCATGCTTTTATCTGAAGAATAAACTTGTCATTTTGTCATATTTCCCATACTGAAACTGTCAATGTGCAATCTGTCAAACTTATTCTTCAGTTTAAAGTTATCCGACGATTGAAAAATCGCCCTTATAAGAAATTGAGTTCATTGGAAACGAATGAATATCTATTCTATTCTTAGTTGTTAGATAGATAGATAACACTTTATTGTACTTTGTACAGCACATTAAATAAGAAAAGGAAGAAATACATAAAAGAGCTGAAACCATTAAAGGTTCAGCCAAACCAACGCGATCAGCCGGCGTGCAGCGATGGCGATCAATGCTTTCAAAATCAAAATCAAAATCAAAATCAAAAATATTTATTCAATTTAGACCACAAGTGGCACTTATGAACGTCAAAATGTTATTTACATAAAAAAAGAAAAGGTAGCCTTTATGGGGCACTTTACACGTCTCCTTATCTTTTGGGCCCTACCAGCGCTTCGAGACAAACATATGGCATACTTTTAAGTCTGATCGCCATCGCTGCATGCCGGCTAATGGCGAACCTTTTGGCGGTCTTATCGCTATGAAGTGATCTCATCCACACAACTTAGGGGACAGTTGTTAGCTAGACAAAAAACTTAATAAGTTTAGTAAAATCCTTTTGAACTGTGAAAGTTTATTAACCATTACAAGACCTTTTTTCAAATTATTCTGAGTATCTTGGAATCTTCCAAGTTAATTATTAAATTAATTTAAACGCTGAAGCATTATTTATTCAGTCTGTCTGACGTCTCGCAAACCTTACTTGATCTTGAAAGTTGAACGAATTTCAAAGGAGATAAAAATGTTTAGTAAAATAAAAAATATATTTTAGTTGTAAATACAGACGAAGCCGTTTCAATTTTGACTTTGTGCAAAATTGCCTTTTTAAAAAGAATTAATTACAAATAAAAAAGAGAATAGATTAAAATTAAGAGCTCTTTTGAATGTACATGATTAATCGAACGTCTTTGATGCGAATGATGCTGTTTAAATTGAAATAGTTTTGAAATTGGATTTCTTTGGCGAGGGACTATTACGATAATTAAAGAATATCGGGTAGGTATTACTTAGTTTATACAATTGGTATTTACTGATTTGAGAAAATTTTGAGAAAGAAAACTCACTTTATAATGGCTGCTAGATACCTACACTTTACTACGAGTATACCTATGCGTTAATCTATAGGGGCCGTAAATATTTTGTTCCTTTTTTTTTCAAAAGTTATTTGAAAATTTACTACAGCAAAACGATCTTACTGAGTATTTAGCGATGGTTTCAGCTGCACAAATAATGCAAGCTGGAAAATTAGGTTGCATGATAAACCAGAATTTTACCTTTTCTAAGTAAAAAACACAAAAAATGCAAATGCGCAGTTTTGTTTATACTGCGGCAAGCCTGCCCGCATAAATTCGCTTGCATTCCCCCGTAGCTCCCTAAACAGGCCGCCGATTCGTAAAATATGACGGGGCAAAAATTGCGATTTCCCGACTACCTGTCTCACCGACCAATCGCGGCATACATCGCCCGCATTTTATTAGACGGCGGACCGAATCGATCGCGCCCAGCACGCTACCATAAATTACTTTTTACGCTACACAATTCGAAGAAAGCTATGCATGACTTGCCAACAGTCACTCGAGACCGCCGCGCCAGCTCGATCGTCCTCCCAATCTCAATTATCCACTCCACCAAACTGGCCGCGAACCACCGGGACCCGCGATACGACGTCCCCTTCCGAGCCAAAAGCGTCAGCCTCGCAGAACGACCCCGTTCCCAATATGCGAGGACCGTCCGAAGCGCTGACCCCAACCGGTCCAGATACGCTGAGAAACAATTCATCCACCAAAGACCCAAATCCAATACGAAAACCCGCCCCAAACCGAGCACCGTAACAGTAAAACAACAAAACCGAAAAGTCCCCGAGAAAGTCCCGTGCGCCATCTCCGTACAAACCCTTTCAATTCCCATGAAGTACGCGGACGAACTCAAAAGACATTCAACCTCCAAATCTGCGAATCAAAACAAGACTAAGACTCGTAATCCTCCTAAACAGGTCAGCGACAAGAGGCTCTGCCAGACCGTCTGCGGGAAAGAGACAGAGAACAAGCTGTTGGTGCAGATCAGCGAAGCCGACCAAGTGTCCGACTTTGAAAGGATTCTTAATACTAATGCAATACTGTGCGAGAGGGCTCACGGACACGTGTGGAGGCGTCGGCTCGCCAACGCGCCTTCCGCGGCCGTCGTGCCGCGCCCCCGCTCATCTTACTCCCTCTACACGGTAAGCCAGGCCTACCACTACCTCTTTCGACAGCACGAGGAGTCCCTCCAGCCTCTCATCGACCAATATCGCCAAGATAACGCCGAGAAGAAAACAGAACTCCCTGAAAGTCTCCTCGGAAGAAACTGGTACGAAAACCTTCAAGATCTCTCCGAATTCTACGAGGACGATCAAACCTTGAAACAGGAGATCGAAACAATCACTGATCGAATCGTCTCTGACGAGGTCAAAGCTGAAGAAAAGAGAAGCAAGAATTTTAACGTCAATTTAACTGATTTGATCACTTTACGCGTCAGCGGGGAAGGTTTCTCCCCCGTTCCAGATCTTGGCCCCTCGCCAGACATCGACAAGTCCGAGGGAGACGACGAGAAGGAATGGCTCTCTCCGATTATGAACGCAAACTCCGATGATAGCCAGGACAACCCCAACGTGGATTGTCTAGCACAAAATCTGACCTCGATTAAAATCGACAACGATGCTAAAGTGCCGACAATAACGTTCAGCAATTGTTGCGACGGGTGCGCCAAGAGTGATTCGCCGAACAATTCCGACGTCGTCATTCATTTGGCCGTGCCCTCCGTGGACAGCATTGATGAGGCGCGCCCGCCTATGATGTGACCTCGGTCGTTGTCCATGTAAATTATTCCACTAACGAGACTCGTTACTAATTACGAGATGATTGCTATAGAGTCGGAGCAGCCGGCGATGCCGAAAGAACAGTTGCCGAAAACGGAGCCAACAACCTCGCAAAGAACATTGACCAGATCCAGCGCTGTGAGTCAGAAGTCTGTTGAAATCACGGTCCACCCAGAGGGGTCCAATAATCCGCTGCATCGGTCAAAGCTAGCGCCGACAAGGTCGTCTTCAGAGACGCAGTCTTCCGGGAAGAAAATGTTGAATCTTCGTAAGACGAAGAATTCTTCTATAGAGTCCACGATGAGCCTGCCGAACCAGAAGTCTTTGGAGAAGAAGCACGGCAGTTTGAGGCACCAGAAGGCTATCGGGGCTCACTCGGACATCACTCTGAGCACGCAGCCGTCGATCCAGGACGACAGGAAGGCGCTGAGGGAAGCGCTATATCAGGGTATCTTTCATAGGCATAGGAGGACAATATTTGCCGTGGGATCCTTCCTGAGGATGCTGCGCAGCAAAACGTCCAACTATGACTCGATAAGGTCCGACTCGGACGAGATATAGCACCCGTAGGGTTAGTGACTGTTAAATTTTTATACTAAACTGGTGCCACAGACTGTATGATGTGCTTTTATAGTTAAAGGAGAGAGTTACCAAGTAAAATGTTAATAGATATAGGTTAAGTATTTTTATTTGTATTAAAATGTTCCTAATTAGTTGTGATGTTTAGTTTTTGTGAACCCCGCTTGGAAGTTATTCGCAATTGTGTACTGAAATGGAGGTTAGGTATGTACGAAGACGTAAAGTAACATTGCAAGAACCTTGAAACAATGTAGTATTAATCCATTGAGTATAAATTAAGCCTAATTTGTGGATTAATTGCAGTAATTGACGATGAATTGTTACGATGGACCATCCTAAAGTTTTTATGGCATTCTGATCCAGTTATAAAAGGCAAATAGGCTTTTATAAAGCGCTTTTACACGTCTTATAACTTAATAGAAATGATCGTGTATTAATAGGATCAAATATGACCCGATAACCCTTTCTGTACTGGATATAAATGTTTTTTATCCTTCAGTTGAAATACGATTCAGTGGCGACTTTGATATTGTCATTCATTTATTCAGGTGCATGTCTTTAAATACCTCTTTATCATGAAAAGGCGATTTAAATTCAAACTCGAAGTCCTTTTAAAAGTTTAACTCGGTAATGGGCAAAAGGACTTGCTTTGTTGTTCCTTTCATACCGTCTACGGTGAATAAATGCTTTTGATCTTGTTTAAATTTCGGTCATTAAATATCATAAAGAATGTTTTAAAGGCATTTTACTTTCTATAGAAGTAGTAAAACGGTAATTGTTATGTACACAATAGAACATAAAGCACTTTAAAATCATACTTAGTGTTAATTGGTGTTACAGTATACATTAAACAACAATAAGTAATTAAAAAGATCGTAACCAATCGGTTTGTTGTCGGTTCGAGATTTGAGGGTCACTAGTTCGATCCCCGACAAATGCACTTCTCAAGAACATATTTAGCTTACTTGCAGGATCTAACGGGATATTAGACTATATTTAGGTCAAAAATACTTTAATTAAACTCATTACTGAATGATGCCTGAGTCAGAATCAAGTCTTGAGCTTCGTTTCACAATACAAGCCTATGAGGCTATGGTATCTTACTCTATACGCGGCGTATGTGCAATGACGTCAGCGTCATACATTCCTTTCGACGTCCACAGGGTCCATACGCCGACGTCAACGTCTGACAGACCACAAGAGTACATTTCTATAGTATGTAAGCATTGTGACGGGGCCTACGGCGTTTTTAAAGGAGACCAGANAGACCAGACCCTAAGCAGTAAATTCTGTTTTATTCCACAATAACTTCAAACGATTAAGTAGTGGAATATCAAAGTTTTTCGGTATAGAAATGAGTCAAGGCCATGTGACCTTACCATAGACACGCGATCCTGCTATTGTACAGGCGGCCCTTCAAGCTAATCTGTGGCACTTATGTAGTTGTGATACGGTTGATATTGCCACAAAATTATCGCTTATATGCTGTCTGTACCAATGTATTTTTATTACAATTAATCATTACAAATATGTATATTTTATTCGTATTTTGGAGTTGATGTGTTTAAAAATCTATAAGGAATGGAATAGAGAACACAAATCATAGACGCGTTGACATACAAATAATTAGGTGATTTTCAATTTTCACTGGTATTTCAGTATTTTTCCTTATACCTAAGCCATTTTAAATTGAAAAAATATACAAACTTTCGTCTTGAAGAGAAAGTTATAAAATATTAATTTCTTTAATGTTAATTAATAAAGTGTTAGTAATTCCAATCACCTCTTTGAATAAATGAATGCTTAAAAAATGTTATACGAACTCCATAAATTGTTTATTTAGTAATTTTATCACGTTTTTTGTCATACAAAAGGTATCCATATAAATGCAATGTTACTCTACGTATCGAGCTAGATTGTAAGATAAAACTTGAAAGGTATATTTTAACGACACTGTAGTTTCCTATTTATAGAATTTTCAGGATTCATCTGGAATTTTCCATTTAAAATAGTGACGGGTGTCAACGCGACATTAATTATATGAGTTACTTGATTACTAAGAGTAGGCACACCGTTGATTTTTGGTCGGCCGATAGTTTAGTCGGGCAGTTGATCAGTATGGGCAATTGGGCATGTATGGGAGTGCGCACACTACGCCGATTCGATTTGGCCGATACTTTCATACAATTTAAAATCGGGCACAACTATCGGCCAACTAAAAATCAACGGTGTGCGCCTACTCTTACAGCTTGATATTTCAGATAGCCGTAGTCACAACAAGCATACAATAAAAATGTCGCGTTGAGAACTTGAGACCCGTGTTTCTCTATTTATTATTAATCTGGAAAATAAGTAAGGAAACGTCTCCTTTTTTTTTTTTTTTTTTTTTTCCTAGGGCAGTGGTTCCCAAAGTTATCTAATACAAGTTCCCAAACTCGGGATCCACCTATAGGATATTTCGCCCGCTGCTGTCCAGTTGGATCGGTAGGGTGGTGTGTCGTTCTACAGGCAGGGCCCACTCAATGTTCGCTCGCGACCCACCACTGGGTCGCGACCCATAGTTTGGAAGTCCCTGTCCTACGGTACAATTGGAAAAAGCTTTCTAACTTTTTGTTGAAATTGCTCTACTATTTCGTAAGTACTACAAGTAGTCCATCTTGATAAATTCCATCACACGTAAGTGCTATGCGAAAGTCAACTTAGGGTTGCCTAATTGGTTTCGGAACGGCAACGTGAGTATCTAACGCTAATTACGGGATAACCTACGGAAAGTAATTAACGTTATTGCCACGCTAAACTCGTTAGAAATAGTTTACTAAAAGTAATTTGAGACATATTCGCATTTGAGTGTAGTTGCTAACTGAATAGGCTAAAAAGGGACGGAAATCAGCAATTAAAATTACAAAATCCCTATCTTTTGGGCCCTTACCAGCGCTTCGATAACATTAAGTTAGTAGGTATACTTACCTTCGTTTTCTACTAAGCTAAATATTTGCATTTAATAAAGCGATTTTGTGTGTAATAGGTATTTACATTTAGTTAAGTAACAGGTGTATTCAGATACTAAAATACCAGTTGTCATTTCGAAAGGCCTAAGCTTCGTTGTTTTTTGGAGTTTATTCGCTTCCACGTTTTTTTGAAGCTTTCAAAAATAAAAAAGGTGCCACTAGTCTGACCCCTGGTTTCTTCTATCCTTGAGTCTTAGAGGTCATTTCAAGTAGTAGCTATGTAGATAATCGAAAACACGCTGGTTGACCTTACCTGCCAGCGTGTCGCTCACGCTGATTTCATGAAAGTAATGAAACAGGTCGGGTTACCTTATACACTTTCGGCCAGAGAATTTACCACGGAATATCCCAACAGTATTTCTGATGATTTTGGACTAAGTAAACAAATTCTTTCTTTTAGTGTGAAAATATAGGTTACCGATAATTAGAAAAAAAATTTCTTCATGATGAACATTCATGTTGTTTGTTTTTAGATACATTAGTGTTTAATTTTTGAGAAAACTAGAGTGTTAGGAGTGGAACGTAGAGTCATTGGCGGGAAACAATAATTCCCTTAGTTTTTCGCTTTATACCAAAGGCAAATAAGTTTTAAATCTGTTAATGGATACGCATATCTGAATACGCAGTCCATTAAATTGGCCCTACTGCTGCAAAATAAAAAAATAAAATGAAAAAGTACGAAAAATGTAGAGGAATTTTCATGGACTTTTATCAAGCTTTTTTTGATGTCACTATTTACATTTTGCCAACCTGTCCATTACGTCCATTACACAGCTTGTGTATGTATTGATCGACCTGTTTCTCAGTTTGGGCTGCCCTATTCACAGTTTTTCTAGGCCGACGGTCTGTCTGTTCGAATTACACCAATTATCAGAAGTGAACTAACTAATGCTGACCTATTTCAGTCCCTTTTCAAGACAATTTAGTTAAAAATAGTAGAACAATTTCTTTATTGAGTCAAATGTTTGTATTACTAAGTACACTTCCAGACAGTGAATATTCAAACAATTATTATTATTTTGTAAGATATTTAATTAGTATTTCAGGGTTGCCTATGCAGTCAAGGCTAAGTTTTAAGATATTATCTTGTGTGTATGTAAAAATATATTTGGTTGTGAAACTGAAATAGATATGCCTGATTTTACTGCATTAAAAATAGCTACTGAAGAGTTAAGATATACCTTTCAAGTGTAAAAGTGATGCTTTGAATAGAGCTTATAATAATTACGTAGTCCAAAATATCCATATATGATGTTATTAGTAGTATTGTATTATTTTGCGATAATTATTAGAAATTAACCAATCGATATTGTAAATAGAATGGTGATCTAAGAAAGTGTTGCCTCATTGGTCCGCGAGCAACATCTAAAATGGGGTAATTTTGTTTGGGGTATCGTTTTCCACTAACTGGCAATGAAAATGGTGACGATTTATATGTGGTACGTGCTGTGCTTTATGCCAAAAAAATATCTGATGTGTATTACTGGAAACTAAAGGCAGACAGTGTTAAGAACTTAAATTTTAAACACATTCACAAGTCTATGCGTAGAAAGTCGCCTTTTTCTTTGCAGGGTGTTGGAAAAACATTGATTTTCCGTCGACTGTGTGCTCATTGCGAGTATTACCTATTAGATAGATTTAAATTCAAACCCTGAAATATGATGATTTTTAAAGTACATAATCCGTATGAAAAAAACATTTAAATAATACTCTCAGTTGGCGCCACCACTATGAAAACAACAACAAACAACAACCAAAGCTATGTTTTTGAAACTCGCAGTGAGCACTGGTCAAAACAGCGAGTAGTCGGAGGAATCGGATCGTGGATACACATTTTTGGAACATTTTATGCACTTTTTATATATTTGTACATCCATGAACGTTTTTTTACGGACGTGTTGTTGTGAAAAGTAGATTTTTATTAAAGTTGAACTCGTTTGCAAAAAGTTTTACGTGGTGAACTTAAATATGATTTAATAATTATAATTTATTAATGCTTCCTAGTTACTTATTTATTTATGAATATTCAAATACTTATTTAAATTACCTGTTTTTAAATATTAGATATTTGACAATCTATGGTTAAATTATTAAATTTAATCAGCGTAGTTTTTTGCAAGCGAGTGTAAAGCACGTGGTAACGATATCGCAATCATGTACAGAAAATATTAAAAATTCATTCATAAGTTTGTTTTTTAAAATAACTTTGTTATTACATAATATACTTTAAAATTATCGAGTACCTACCTACTTACCAATGTTGTGTGTGGAGTGATTAAAATTTTCCTTCACTGAAAAAAGTTGTTCAAAGAAAAACTTTGGTCGTTCTTTGCGTGTTTCAAAACGAAAGTGAAAAGAAACAATAATTAGGTACTTCCCAAAATAAGAAAGTAAAATAAAGCATAATACTGTCCCTACTTTTTAACTAATAAAGCTTAAATTAAATCAATTTTAACTGGTGAACTACGAGATCACATTATTCTAACTGTATAATACAAAAAATACCTAGATCTAAACTAAGTAGAGCTTGTTATAGCGACTTAAATGGATAAACATAAATAAACAAATACATATTAATATATATATTGATGATTATTCGTATTATGTGCAATACTCACTCATGTATTCACAAACATTACCTACGAGGTCTCACAGTGCCCATGGATGCACATGGTGACATACGAACCAAGCACAGAGCTCTATTCAACGCTGTGCGTTCGATTTGATGCTTCACTTAAGCCATCGTTTGTGAACACGGGCGACACTGTCTCCAAGAAAAATCGAACCTACAACGGTCGCTAATACAATTCTAAGCAAGAGAAAACTATAGATA